GTGCTGGCCACACCCACCCCTGGTTTAGCGAAGGAAAAAGCTGTGATTTGTCATGTGATGATATGCCATTGCGAGTTTGACACCCCTGCAATAAAGCAATACAAACTTTACCAAATATGTACAATAACTAACCATTTTAACATACTTAAGGACTATAAAACTTATGTTAATGATTTCCATAATAATGAGAAGTTCAGTTCATTCTGTTGCTTTGAATTGACCCGTTCTAAGTCAATGAAAAACATTGTCAGATTCAAGATCACTTGTGTTTTAGTAGATTACTCCTGTGCACCATTTAGCAGCAGAAAGAGCAGTGTGAAATCAAATTTAACTCTTGGAAATGATAATTAAAAATGATAGAAGGACAGAGTTTTATTCTCCTGTCACCTCAAATCCATCCACACTAAGGTGTATCATATGATCAACTGTATAGAAATATGGCTATAGACACTTAGGTATTCCCCTCAATCTAGCCATATGATTAAAGGTAAAGGTTCCCCTCGCACATATATGCTAGTCATTTCCGACTCTAGGGGGCAGTGCTCACCTCTGTTTCAAAGCCGAAGAGCCAGCGCTGTCCGAAGACGTCTCCGTGGTCATGTGGCCGGCATGACTAAATGCCGAAGGCGCACGGAACGCTGTTTCCTTCCCACCAAAGGTGGTACCTATTTTTCTACTTGCATTTTTTACGTGCTTTCGAACTGCTAGGTTGGCAGAAGTTGGGACAAGTAACAGGAGCTCACTCCGTTACTAGGGGTTCGAACCACCGAACTGCCGACCTTTCTGATCGACAAGCTCAGCGTCTTAGCCACTGAGCCACCGCGTCCCTCAACTTAACATAAATACGTGTATTATTATTAGAGTTATACAAGCTCGTTCAGTGAAACAAATATGATTAATGCTCTTTTATTTAGATCAAAACGTACGACACTCAGGTTCACGCATTTGTAAAAAGTAAAAACAAAAAAGTTGGGGTGGTTGGAGTTAAAAGAAAAAAAAATAAAATTCTTTTTCGCTTCTCATCCAAGAAGCCGGAAAACAGAGAAAGCTTCTTGGATGAAGAGCAAAACATTTTTTAAAAAATAAAAAGCCCAGGAAAATCCAGTTGCGTTTTGGGAAAATGCCTTTGGGAGATTTGCAAAGCTTGGCTGTAGTAACAAGTCAGGGTTTCCTTGGCAGGGCTGCCTCTGTGGGAACTGGGCTAAACCACCAAATTTTATTCCATTTCCCCCCCCCCCATTTTCCTCCTCTAAAAACACAACGGAGAGAGTTGCCAACCCTCCAAACCTCCAGGAATCATTGGCAAGGAAAGCCGCCGAGATGGTTTGTCAATTCCCGTGGGATTTGCTTCTTGGAAGCAGGGTTTGTGTGCTTCCGTAAATAAGCACCGTCTGGGATTTGCTTAGCTGTGGAAGGGACAGAGAAACTGACTTGCCCTCTGTCTGATGTCTTTTTTTTTTTTGGCCTGCGCTGGAAAAATAAAAGCTATTAAATCAAATCTGGGAGGAAAAAACAAAACAGCGCTAAGAAAACCAGGATTTGACCTTGGGAAAATAATGTTTCTAAACATAGGAGCGTCCTGGAACTTATAATAGCAATAGCAGTTAGACTTATATACCGCTTCATAGGGATTTCAGCCCTCTCTAAGTGGTTTACAGAGTCAGCATATCGCCCCCAACAACAATCCGGGTCCTCATTTTACCCACCTCGGAAGGATGGAAGGCTGNAGTGGTTTACAGAGTCAGCATATCGCCCCCAACAACAATCCGGGTCCTCATTTTACCCACCTCGGAAGGATGGAAGGCTGAATCAACCTTGAGCCAGTGAGATTTGAACAGCCGAACTGCAGAACTAGCAGTCAGCTGAAGTAGCCTGCAGTGCTGCACTCTAACCACTGCGCCATCGGCTCTTAATAAGGATAATAAATCCTTAGCATATAGATTTAAAGCCGGCCCTGCTTGCAACTATATGCAAAAGAATAAAAATGGGAAAAAACTTTTTTTTTAAAGGAGAGAACCAACCTAGAAATAAGGAAGAATTTACAGACAGTGAGAACAATTAACTTGCCACCAGATGACTTGCGAGTGGATGTTTTTGAGTGGATGTTGTGAGTGGATGTTTTTAAAGAAAAGATTGAACAATCATTTGTCTGGAATAACATAGGGTCTCATGCTTGAGCAGGGGGTTGGACTAGAAGACCTCCAAGGTCCCTTCCGTTATTCTACTATAATAAAGGGTTGGGGGACTAAATGGTACGATGCAGGAGCTAGCTATGTCTACACTATCAAAGAGAAGGGAGGGGGGGGGGACAGGATAACAGTCTTCCAGTATTTGAGGGGCTGCCCCAAAGAAGAGGGAGTCAAGCTATTCTCCAAAGCAGTTGAGGTTAGGACATGAAGCAATGGATGGAAACTAACCAAGGAGACAGGCAACCTGGAATTAAGGAGAAATTTCCTGACAGCGAGAACACGTAACAGTCCTTGACCTACAATAGTTCCTTTAGCGACCGTCTGAAGTTACAACGGCACTCAAGAAAGTCACTTATGACTGTTTTCCACCTGTTAGACTTGCAACATCATTACAGCCATGTGACCCAAATTGGGACACTTGGCGGCTGGCTCATATTTATGACGGTGGCAGTGATCCTCTTTTGCGGAGGAAGGTCAGCGGGGAAGCAGGATTCACCCAACAACCCTGTAACTAACTTAACAACTGCAGCGATTCGCTTAACGACCGCGGCAAGAAAGGTAGCAAAACGGGGCACAACCCACCGAAGAACTGTCTTGCTTCGCGGTGGAAATCTTGGGGTGCCACTGTGGCCGTAAGTCGAGGACTACCCGTCGTCAACTATCGGGGATGGTGTAGTGATGAAGGGTCGGACTAGATGACCTTTTAGGTCCCTTTCAGCTCGTATGAGTCTATGACTTTTTGCATAACCCAACAATGGTAGTTTTGGGGTGTTTTTTTTTAGAAAATTACCTGTGATCCAGGACGGTTACATTGGAAGGAGGGATCCCTAAAACTTCGCAGCTTTCTATCAGTTCCGCTTTACGAATCTCTCCCTGCTGATAATAATTCCCTGTGAATGATAAAAGAGATTAAAGTCATGTTCTCACTTAGGCTTTCCAAATGAACGAAGCCGACTCCTCGTCCCGATAAATCCCCTTTTTTTATCTATTTTTAAAGCGAATTCCTCTCCAGCAAAGTCCCGGCCAACAGTCTTTCAAGAGATTTCACAACTACGGACTTTTATCAGGCTTGGAGAGCTGCCAGGCTGAGATCTTCCTAACTCCACGCTGTAGCAGCAACTACTTGGCAAGAAGTCAGGAATGGATCTTCACTCTAATGAATGGAGCTCCTGCAAACTCCCCTCCCCTCTCGCTCCTCTTTATTCCCTATGGGAGGGGCCATTCACCGTCCACCTGTGGCTTCACTCCCGAGTTTCATCTGGCAACTCTGCGCATGCGCACACTGGGAACAGGCTCCAGCTGTTCTTCTGCCCCACTGATCTCTGACACTGAAGGCAGCTATTAATTGTCAGACGGCCCTGGCCCCCCCTCTGCCTCCAACACGGAGCCCTCCTCCGAGCCTTCCTCAGACTCCAGGACTGGCCCAGGTTCCTCCCCAACCCTCCTCACTGCCCGAATCTGCTGCCAGCTCTGCTGCCTGTTGGCAAGCCTCCGTTCACATTTATTTATTTACCATTTTTTTTTAGCAATAGCAATAGCAGTTAGACTTATATACCAGATGGTATACAGCTGTGCTGGCTGGGGGATTCTGGGAGTTGAAGTCCACAGGACTTAAAGTCGCCAAGGTTGAGAAACACTGAGCTAAACCAATGGTTGTAAGTCAAGGATTAAGAAGAATAAATAATAGTATAGCAATACCAAAATCACTGCTAAGCATCCTGCACTGTCTCTCTATTCCTGCAAAGAAAACGTGTGGATTTATCATGCTTTTATCTCCCCAGTTTTTATCCTGCCTTTGAGGAATACAAGGCCCTCCCTCCTTCACTTTTCTCCAGACATCAACCCTGCCAGGTAGGACGGTCTGAAAGGAGGCAAATGAAAGGGAAGTGGAGAGATGAAGGGAGAGAGGGAAGTGGAACAGGGCGGAACAGGGCGGAGGGAAGAGGAGGAAGGAGAAAGAAGGAGAGGGAAATAAAGAGGGGAAAGGAGAGAAAGAAATGGATGAGGGGAGAGGAGTAGGAGAGAGGGAAGGAGAGAGAAGTGGAGAGAGAAGAGGGGAGAGGAGAAGAGGAAAAGGGAGGAGAAGGGAGGAGAGAGAGAAATATATAGAATGCTATGGTACAATTATGAAAATAATGCCTATATGACTATAACATACAACATTATGTATTTAAAAGAGATTATAAATGTATGATTAAGAGGATATTGGTTATAATCAGAGTGTATAAAGCAATGTACTCTTAAAAAGGACTGGATACATCTCTTGCAAAACTGCAAATGTGATGTATTATAAAGAAAAAATGTACAATACAAATATTTATTTTTTAAAAAAGACTAGTTCCAAGGTTATATATTAAGATTCCACAGGTGAGTGGGGACTTAGTCCTATTCTAGCATTTTTAACTTTTATTTATTTGTTTATTTAGGAGATTTATATGGCCGCCTATCAGCACATGGCGGCTTACAAGAACTTTTACTGATGTAACAACTCTGTTGGGGAAAATTTGATGATTTTTGAGGAGAGGGACTTTTATTTTATTTTCTCTCCTTTTCCCATCACGTCTTTTTAGGCCATAAGCCTCTCAATGAAGCAATTTCTGCTTGGTTTTTATGCCCATTTTGCAGACGGGGAAAACTGAGGCTGAGTGACGTCACACTCAACGGCGAACCTTTATTAGTTCGGGCAATACAGGCTACAGATGGGCGGAGCTCTTTGGAAGGTCGAAGCCAGATGACGTCAGAGCGCCTGCCCCTTACGTGCGGCAACGGCGTGAGCGCGTTCAGCCCCGCGCGCAAAGTGGGCGTTCCGAGACCGCGGTTGCTAGGCAACTCCGCAGCGCTCTTTTTTTTCTCCCCCTCCCCTCCCTCACCTGTGGAGCCGCAGAGTAGCCATAGGCTGGCCGGCTTCAAGGCGAGGATGGTGGGGGCGAAGAACATCGCTTCGTCATCAGGGTGAGCCGTCACGAAGAGGACGCGGGTGGCCTGGACGTCGCGTCGCACCATCGCTGACGCCTCCGGTCCGTCTGAGAAAAGTGTCCGGTGGTCCGGCCGCCTCCACTTCCTCAGGCCGTGGTAGCGCTGCAGCCACCAACGAGAAAGGAGCCATAGCAAAAGAACGGCAAGAAGGAAAAGGAACGGGGCGTTCGTCGCCATTGTAACGCAGGAAATGTGGGGAATAAGAGGAAAGGACCAAGAAAGTCCGGATGGAAACTTGAACCGCAAAGAATGGTTCCGCCTCTTATTCTTTTAGAGAAAATGGTGTTTTCTTGGTATTTCCAAGCTGGCTTGTAAAATCGTTGCAGGAAACGAAAAAGTTGTCAAATCTAGGATAACATCCAAGTTATTTTTCATCTGAAGGCCTTTGGGTTGGTTCTCCATTCAATACAAATGCTTCAATTCCTGCAGCTCCAGCATCCTTTCACTATCTCAGTTTTGCTCCCTTCCAATTTATTCGCAGAAAACACACATGGCAAAACTCCTCAGAGACGTTAAAGTACATTGGATTCTCTCGTACAGTGTGAAGTTTGGCTTTGCCAAGTGTTACTTGATTTTGGGTTGTTGTGGTGTAGGAAGTTATCACCCAGCCCTCTCCCAGAAAAATGAAATATCCTAGGAAATATTGAAAAGGCAGAATATTTCTCTGGATAAAAAAAGGCGGAATATTTCTCTGGGGAAAAAAAGAAACATGTTTTGAAAAGACAGAATAGCTGCCTGTAGCTTCCTGCCCATCCCCACTTTGTCAGTGGGCCATTAAGAAGGCCAAGCTAGTCCCTTTACATAATAAAGACTCCCCCACTTCAGCTCCAGAGGGATGGGAGGAAAAGCATGATAATATTGGCCCTTTACTCA